CCAAATCCTGTTCCTGGGGACTAATTGTTTCATTTAAAAACCTATCGCAATATCTTTTAATTTCACATTTGAAAGATATTTACGACGTTTTTGTTTTGTAAGTTATTAATTGGACGATGTCGCTTATTTTAAATTAGTTGGAATTGTTTAAGGCAAGCTTTAGACACAAATATCTGTGAAAGCAAATGAACAAACGAAATAAGTACTATCTGCAATGTTTCGACCGGTTTAAGTAAGTTTTGATTGGTCATGCAAATCATTATTTACGCCAAAAGCATTTGTTCCATAAATCGCTATAACAATAGATGTACCATTGAAATGGATACCGATGGATTTTTAAATTAAACAATTATAACACTGGTCGTGAATAGTGTATTTAATAGACGAACACTTTTAGGTACTGATCAACAAAATGCCTAAAAAGTTCTATATCGATTTGTATCGTATCTTCTAAATCGACCTTAATAGTCATTTGAACAGAACAATAAGGTATTCAGTTATTTATTTGCGTTATTTTGAATAGAGTTGATGAATTCAAGGTCTTGTTACTTTCGCTACTAGTAATATGAACATTTTTAAGTATTTTGTTATCATCTTTTTAGATAAAAAATATAGCACGATGAAAATATTTTCATTCTTAATATTTCTATAGGTTATGGTGCTCTACTAGTGCTCCAAGCCTCATCGGTTGATCGAACTATATACCGGTCTAACTATATTAAGGTGCTATGGCTATTAAATTTTCCTAATAGCAAGCACTTTAGCAAATGACCTTCATTAGCCATAACCTCCAGGAGCCCTGCTGCGCATAGCCTATGGACAATTAGTCTATTTCCAGCTCACCCGCATAGATATACCTCGTGTGTTCATAAGTTTTGTGACAATGTTTTACTGAAAAAATAAATTAAAATGTTACTGGCTGTTACTTTTTTATCGATTTTGAATTTGGAATGTTAACTTTTAGTTTATTTGTATCGTAAATTAATTTGTTTATATTTTCTCGTGATGGAGGAAACGAAAACATTACTAGCAACTGTAATGTCGTTATTTAAGGTGGGAAAAAAACCGATACAGATTTTCCGCGAACTGAAAAGTTTTCCTGTAAGCCTTAACTTCGTCTATTACACATTACAGCTGCACAAAGAAACAAGTTCTCTGCAAGATTGTTAAAAGAGTGGTCGGCCACGCTCTGTCAGGACGCCGGCGAACATCAAAATCATCCGAGAATCGCCGAAATTAATGTTGCACTCAGAAGAAACTTGCTCTGCTGATTAATATTTCTGAACAGAATACTGAAATATGATCTTAAGGTAAAGGCCTATAGCCGTAGAAAAATCCACTTTCAAACGATCGTCTTCGTAAGTTACGACGCGAACGTTGTCCATTGCTGCCGAGGAAACATGATGCCAGGATACTCTGCACCAACGAGAAAATTTGAAAAGGCAAAAAACACCCAAGCTTGGTTGAGGGAGAATATGCCGGCCTTCATCGCGGCGAACGAGTGGCGCTCCTCCAGCCCCGACTTCAACCCGCTGGATTATTCTTTATGGACTGAATTAGAGCTCAGGGCCTGCCGAAATTCCCACCCAAACTTAGAGTCACTGAAGCGAACCCTTGTTCGAGAAGCAAAGCGAATTCCGCTAGAAAAGATTCGTGCCACCATTGATGACTGGCCAAATCGATTAAGATAACAATTTATTGTTGATTATCATCTAATTAATGGTTCCTGAAATATTTAGAAATATAAGGTGATTATTAAAAAAGTTACGCAACTTTTATTTCGTCTCAAAACTTATGAACACACGAGGCTACTCAAGTTACCACAATATGTCAAATTTCTGCAATTGATTTTGAACTCTAAGCTCAATGAATTAAGATTTACGAATTTACAAAGTAAACTGGCAGCACGCTATGATGGTTTGACGTTTGTCCGCTCATGAAGTTCCGTATTAATAACGAGTAATTGATAACGACTTTGAAGGAAAAAATTGGATTACTTTATTGACGATAGTGATGTGCAGAGATTCATAAGTGATGTGCAGAGATTCATAAATTTTATCGAATGTAGTTTTAGGAACCAAAAATTAATTTATTAAATTGATTTCTAAAATGTATACAAGTGTAGAAAAATCAGTTTGCACCATTTAAGGGGTGAATGTACACATTTAACAAAAAAATAACAAAGAATGACTTAGGTAACTAATAATACTGTAAGTCAATTTTTTTTTATTCTTAATATAATAGTAAATAGGGATGATGACTATTTTCGTTTGTTTGTCCGTCAGGAGGAGTTTTAAAAATTTTAAACACGTATTTTTTTCGTAATCATAAAATTACGGCGTTACATGGAGTTAAAATTTTGCATGACGTCACGTTAGGCTACGTTTTCTACTCAACTGTGACGTAGCGAGCCCCCACTCCTCAACTTTAATGCCTGTTATCTAAGCTATTTCTTGTTATATTGAAGTAAAAAAAATACGTATCTAATATTTTTCTGTTATCTGACTGACGGGCTAAATAGAATTGCATTTTTTTTACCCAGTCATCATCCCTATTATACATAACCTCAATTCCTAAGAGAGTTATCTCTGTTCCTGTAAAGCAGTTATCTTTTTAAAATACAAACCCAGCTCACAATGCCCAGTAGGGTGTGTAGTGCAATTCACTCGGCAGATAATGGCAATGTTTGTACAGCCTGAGTGCTTCAGTCTCCTCTCGGAGAACACACTGAGATGCCTCGTTTAATCTGTACACTAACGCCATTAGTACACCGATGGAATCATATGCGAAAGCGAAACAATGAAAAAACTTGTCAGTTGTATAGAAATATCTCGCATGTGCTTTGTCTTGTACAAATGTGTCTATATTTTATTGATAAACGGATAATTCTCACAGACACAAACAGATACACTTGTATGCTCAAATACACACACACACACACACACACACACACACACACACACACACACACACACACATTTTTCCATTAAATTATTTTTTATTTATAATAGTATGAAAATGTAACAATGAACTAAAATTAAATGTTAGTACAATTTTTAGAAATGGAAGAGCGGAGCGCCCTATTACAATCAATTTTTTGCTCAAATGGACACTCCAAGCTATGTCAATTTTATGTACTATTCAATTATCACAATAAACATTCGATTTTATGTATACCTAATTCACGACAACACTGCAAAACTGCCGGAAAATCAGTTCTTAATATATGAGAAAATCATTAAAAGTAATCATTTATTTCTCCGTTCCATGTGTATATATTATGAATCAACAAATATTGCTTAATAATAGGTAAGCTTCTAGAATAAATAATATGAATTCAATATTGAAAAGTGACGCCTACAGAAATATCCGAAGTATTCGCTCTTATGAAATTACAAAATTTGAAATTCGCTCGCAGAAGTCAGCTGCAAATTAACCCCAAGAGAATGACGTTGTCGAATGGTAATGGAAAACATTTCACCGTATTTTGTTATGTACCACAGATAATTTATTTCCGCAACCGATTTTGAATTCTACGTGAAACATTTTTAGGCAGAATCGATTGGGGAGTCTTGCGTAAGCTGATGTATTGTGAATGATGTTATTACCTCTACTTCCGCATTCAGTGGATTAAATAAATAAATAAAAATTATATTTTTTATAAAAGACCACTAAGTTTAGAAAAAAGTATCTTTAAATTTTTACATTTTAATCTCTATAAACGCCTTCAATACTTAGGGGCGGATTTACCCTGAAGCCAGTAGACCCAGATCTAGGGCGGTAGATGCTAGAAATATAATATTCACTTGTTTTATCCAAGACACGCTCTTAAATTAATCAGAATTGAATTTTCGAATGTATTCTTCACAAGACATTCTTTCAAATTAATCACAACATAATTCAAATTAATTGAATCTATTTCAATAAACGTTACAAAAGTAAATTCATATATAGTACCTAAATTATAAAACCTAATAAGTGGAGGCTAGTGCATCTTCTACTTGACCAAGCCTTGGTCCGGATTTTCGTAGTCGATGGATCGCCGTCCCTTGCAGTTGGAGAGGCCTCTCGTCCAGGTCATTAAAGTGTAAGGTCAATTCCCTTCGGTATAAAAAGGGCAGCCAATCCGTCTCTGTCTATTCTTCAAAGAATATTATAGTACAAATAAGTAACATAGCAACATATTTAAATTTTCATTTTTATTTATGTAGAATAACGTGAGAATAATATACAAATTTAATTTGTCAACACATAAGACACAAACAGACGTTCATACTTGCATGTAAACAACTTGTTAATTTGTCACAGGCAATTTTCTGTTTTCAATAACGATTACAAAACAATTATCAAAACAATTAATTATAAATATACGTATCCACTTGTTTTATTCTGTTTAATTCTAATCTATTCTATTAAGCAACGAATTCTATGCTTACTAAAACACTGGCAGTGCTACTTTTAAACAAGGTTTAGCGTTGGAGTAAATTTACGCTGAGACGGCTCTTCCTATTAGTCAAAATTCATATTATTAAACAGAGAGTTAACAAAGGCTAACCTAGTACGAGGTTCTACGGGTGTAATATTTGCTCATAGAAGGTAGTAGATTTATAGTGTAATATAAATATGGACTAATACTAAAATTGCAATTTTGGCGTAAATTTACTCTGACGCTAAACCTTGTTTATAAGTAGCTCTGAAAGTATATACTCGAATAAACCGATTCGTGAAATGTATTCAATAGTACCCTTGTACTTTTAGATAAAATATCATTTAAAACTGACTTTCAAATGTGAAAAACATTTTTTTATTCGTAGAATACCGTATAGTGTGCACGACTTTAAAGTAAGCAATTGGTTCATCTTTAATAACATTGAATCATATAACAATCTTGATAATTACAATTATTTACACCACATAATAGGCAATAGATTACTCAGAAGGCCAATAAATAAAATAGACTTTGGAGTATCAATTCAATGTGTTAGTAGATTTTAATGAAAATGTTCTCAAACATTCTCAGCTGGTGGAAATCCAAATTGATCATAAATGTAGATAATCCGTTAGAGGCATCGAAGCGAATGATCAATAATATAGAATCTGTTGTCGGGATACGAGATACCTTCGGAGATGAAAAAAATAAAAAAAGTAAGCGGCTTATCTTGTATTAATTAACTCTATATCAATTAATATGGAGCTACATGTTTAAATGTAACGTTCCCCATAATTTAAATATTTTTCTTTAATTAGTGATTCGACCTCCTTGAGAACTAGATGAAGCATCGAGAAACTCAATATTGACTAAAGAAATGAATAGGATAACCTTGTTTCTTACGTACTAATTTATTATACTACCTATTTATCCTGTGAGAACTCTTTCACTAATATTATTGACCTTCAAAATTATTTATTTTCTGCACATCTATACTAATAATAAAGCTGAAGAGTTTGTTTGTTTGAACTATATAATCTCAGGAACTACTGAAACTAATCGATTTTTTTTTTGTGTTTAATAGTCCATTTATCGAGGAAAGCTATAGGCTATATAAGATCAAGCTTTGACATATAGGAGTGGAGCAGAAAAGAAAAAAGTTGCAAAAACGGGACTCTATTTTACTTTTTACCCGACTGCGCAACACAAAAAAGGTTAATATGTTTATGAGCCTATGTATGTATGTTTGTTCCTATATGACATTGTAGAGACCAAACGGCTTGGCAAATTTTGATGATTTACAAGTGTCAGTAAACATATTTCAGTGATCAAAATTCTTTTTTAGGGTACCTTCCCTCCATGTAAAGTAGGGATGTATTTTATTTTCGCTTTCCCTATAATGTGGAATATTGTTGGATAGGTCTTTCAAAATATTAGAAATGTGCGAAGACCATTTTAGATACAGTGAGCAGTTCACAAATTATTAAGCTTTTAAGTGCCAAGAACTACTTTGGACCGAGCTGTGGTCGACTTAAGTTCGCGAATTTTTGCTAAAGGTCAAGCATATGTACTTGGAGCCGAGTGAGGTCTCTAGAGAGATTGATAATCAGTAACAAGTTGCTTAATAATCCTCACGATATAAACCCTCAATGAAATGACAAAGTTGCGAAATTTACCGTCTTATAGGTCTCGTTAATTGGTCAAAAAAGAATGGGTCCTGACTATTGATCTTTCTATTCTGCTTTTGAATATATGATATGTTTTATGTGTGTATAGATTGTTAAACTATTTTAATGGAGCAATTATTCAGTAGTACTTAATAACATTCTAAACTACTGGGTTTGTTTTTTTTTTAAATTTAGTGAAAGTATTTTTTTTTTTCACTTCTTTCTTTTGTTTTCACGCAGTCGGTTTTTTTGTTTTTTATAATTATTTGTTTTTATGCTTTCGCAAATATCATATATTACGAAATTGATCCCCTTTAAAAGTTCTAATAAATGCCAATGGCAGCATATGTCAATCTTATATCTTATTACAAAAAAAATCACATGAAGGGATGAAAATGGAGGGAATTATATCGATATAGTCATTGTAATTATATTCCATGTCATCCTTTTCCAAATCTATTATTAAACGATTCAGCCTGTTTACGCAGGTTTAGATAATGTTTTGAATAATTCAAATCAGTACAATCGTTGTCGCTAATAATAAATGCATATGTTATGTTGGTTAAGTACACGAAAATGTTACATTTAGCTGACGCTACTGATCACTAGACGACACTACTGTACCTTTAAATACAGTAGTGTCATCTAGCTTTTTGATATGTTTGACAAGTTTTTCCATTTTTTATCAAACAAAGTAGCTTTCGTCTTAAATTTTGAGTACCAAGCACATCAATTAATGGGGAATTGTAAATCAGGTGAAAAAATAAAATGTTACAATTAGCTGTTTTCGCTAGATGATGCTACTGTATTTTTAAAACGGGGTTTTGATTTTTTTATGTTTTTTTCTTTAAAAAAAAACTATTACATTAATGGTTATATAAATTTACTACCGGAGACAAGAACGTTGTATTGTGTAAACAGTAAAAAATATCTAAAAACAATATATTATTTTTATTAAAATATCCTTTCAGTCAAAGTTGTGTCTTTGGCATACAACATTGCCTGCTACTTTGTGCATCTGTAATCAAAATTTGGACGATTTCATAAGATTTGGGACATATTTGGTAACGCATAAAGTCTACCTTCCTTCTCAAACGCTATATCAATAAAAAAATCTCAAAATCCAGGCAAAATTGCGCCATTTTACGGTATTACGTAGTTTGTGTACAATCCTCCACAATATAGATGTCTTGGCAATTGGTAAATGGAAAGGCTTGTTAACAATATGAAAGGAAATAAATTGCATATATTTAATTGAGTCTCCTGATAGAATTGACAAATAAAAACCTTTTTTTAGATTTCACTATCATTTCTATACTAAGCACGATTGTGTTCTGCGGTGGTTTCATCTACACGGGACCATTCAGTCAAGGTGTTTACTTCTTCCAAGTACTACCAGACAAGATCAACAGCTTCCAAGCGATGAATTGTTTCAGCTCGACCTGTGTGCCCTTGTCAAAATTCATCTTAATGTACTGCTCGAGGTACGTTTAAAACAATTTGCATTTTAATATAAGTGCTTAAAAGACGTATAAAAATTACTTTTAGATATTGTTCCAATTAGCGACGATCGAACGGGCAATTGCAATTGCGATATAAAAAGAAATAACGCCCGTATAATCTGTAATTCAAACATAAAGAACTGCACTAGGGAAAGACCCAAAGAATGAATTTATAATATTTTCTGTATAGAAATAAAAATAACAACCTCACATTCAATTCATTTTTTTATTCATTTCTTCTTGTAATTTAATTACTCTTATTATCATAATGAAATGATTGAAGAGTAATAAATTAAATTTTGTTTTTTACATGAAATACTTAAAGTATAAACCCAATGAAATTAAATCAAATCAAACTTATTTATTCAGTCTAAGCTATTAATCACTTGTGAAATAAATCAAATCATTTACGAGTATTGAATCTATGATATTGACCACTTGTAAAAGTCTAAATTCTGTGTCATCGGTTTGTAAATTTACGCAAGAAACTCAGCAAGGACTGCTTTTTTCTCCCTGTTCTATCTATACATCGGAAAATACATCGGGAATACACCGAATAGAAAATTTATGTTCTGTAGAAAAACAGATAGAGTATGAAGTCACTTTCCATCACAATATCAAAAGTATAAGTCAATCGATTTACATGCCGTTCTCATCTCATCAACAAACTCACTGATAACGCGGTGAACATCATTCGATTTAGAAGCACACCTATTAAGCCATCGCACGACGAACAAGTTGATTGCTCGTAGGATCGTTAGCCAATTAAGATGCCCCTCTAGATGGGTTTCGCTTACACTCCAACTCCGAAGTTTGATGTTGCACTTCTCATTCTGCGGAAGCAGTTTAAAGGTATCTGTGTGCAAACTGAAATATCGAAAGTTAGTTGCCTTGTTTACTACTAACAAGATAATCGCTTGCACTAGTCCGTTGGAGTACCTACTTCTAAATACAACGAAAATTATTCAAAGGGGTTTCCTTGACCTAAACCATAGCAAAACTAGGCGAAGGCAATTATCAACGTTATTATACTTAAGCTAGATCTTATTTTTCCACACTGTACAACAGATGCTAAAATTAATATTCTTTGAAAAACCTTGTTGAAATTTAAATGGAAGCAGCAAATCATGCAAAGCGTCAAGTATATTATATTTCAATGTAATTTGTATATGAGCTGGTGTTAATTTATTCTGATTCAGAACTCGCCTTAGTATCATAATGGATATGAGTCGCGAAGGATTGCAAGCTATACCTAAAGGAAGTTCGGCTCATTCCACAATGATGAAAACAATTCAAAAAGCTGGCTACGTGTCTTGGCTGGTGATCTTAAATCAGATGTTCGTTCACGTCTCCTACCTCCTCCTACCTTTCCTCATGACCATATTTGGTAATAATAGATATTTACCTACTACCCCTGGAGGTATATATGGTAAGTAAAGATCATCGAGATTTTTACTGTCAATGTCTATTTAAACAAAAATAACTTCCCTATGTTTTGTAACTTATCGAATTTCTATTCCGCAGGAATCCCTTCAAAATATGAAAGTCCATACTATGAAATTAATTTCATAGTAACAACCATTGCTACAACTTTTTCTGGCATTAATCAAACTGGATATATTGTTCTGTTTGTGACTCTGGTTGGAAATGAACTCGGACATTTTTATGCTATTTGCGAGACGCTGAACGACATTCATAAAATTCTATATAACAATACGCAGCATAATGAAGAAGAAAGAAATAATTGCGCCGATTCAAAACAAACTACCGCTCTTTCAGACTCTGCTTTCGCTGAGGATAAACACAAGAAAATTGATAATATGCTAAGGTTCTGCGTGAAACACCAACAATTCCTATTCAGATACCATGAAAAGATTTGTGAACTGTATAAAGTAATATTCGGAGCGCACTTTTTGATAATGATCATTGTACTTGTGACGACTCTGCAGACGATGAACTCTTGGGGTTTGATGAATACAATTCTGACGGGTGTTACGGGAACAATGCCCCTAATAGTATATTGCTTCGGCGGAGAGTTGCTTCTAACTGCTGGATCAGATATGTCTTACGGAATATACTCGTGCGGTTGGGAGGCAATGGAAATTAAACATTCAAGAATGGTACAGCTGATGTTGTGTATGTCGCAACATCCACTCTGTTATACTGCCGCCGGAATATTCATAATGAATCATGACACATTTGGAAACGTAGTTCAAGTTATATATAAAATATATGCGGTATTTAACTAAACAAATTATTTATTATAGTTAGAAATGGAAGCAATGTTAAACTAATATTTTAACTTTTCAAGTTTGTGTTTGGAATACTTAAGGTATTTTTTGGTAACTTATTTTTTCAGAATGACTTAAAATATTTCATTAGAAAGATGAGTAAAATAACCCAATGCAGAATAACTCTCAGAGGTCTGAGAAACAAAAAGTCAATTAATGATATCACAGAACGCACTGATAAGTCGTTTAAATCTGTAAAATAACACTAAATAAAGAAAAAAGAAGTTGAATTAAGCCGTCAGTTTAGTCCATTTAATAAAAAATCAGAGTACAGTTACGACATTTTATGGTTTTCAGAAAAAAAGAAGTGCGTGTGATTTGGCCGTTTTGAAATGTCGTCAAATATTTGATAGCTCAAATGACTGATACACGCGTCTTTTTAAATTGTAACACGTAGGAATAAATCGTATAGGAAAAGAAAAGAGATGTTTTACATTTTTCTATTAAAAAAATCTCCGCGATAGGTTTCATAAATTTACACCACAGAACCTCTCTTCTGTGGTCTGTGCATTTACACCCAGTTGCACAAATTAACGTCCATTAAAATTGACACTAGTTTAAAGCAACATTGACGATACGAATTTGGAACATTTATTTGAGCTATAAAACTGTACTCAATTTCACAATCGATGTTTAAAGTTTAATTACAACTTTAAGCTCTAAAAATATTTGATAAAATTGAACCGGTTTAAAATAATGTCAATATTAATCGACAACAACTGGGTGTTTGTCGTCATTAACCCTTAATGGACATTTGTGCTAATAAAATCCAGTTGCACAAACGACGATTACATATTTCACTAGTTAAAAACGACATTACCAATACAAATTTTCAAATTTAGAATATTTATTAGAGCTTAAACTCGTCATTATACCTTACCGTTTGTACAACTGAGTGTGACCGTTGTTTTCTTACCAGTAATATTAGACCCGTCTCATGTATTAGGTAAATGCAATGACTAACTGTAATACTTGTCGATGTAAAATATAGAAATATGTATCGTTAAAATATAGAAATGTGTACGTTATCTTATATTTATTTATTACAAAAAAAAAAATATCTTCTGTAACATGTAACGTGTACATGTAAGTACCCTACATACATATCAAAACTACAAACAAAATATTTTCCCCACTTTTGCTACTAAATGTAAAAACATTTAACTATAAATATTGTACTTAAAAATTAACATAAATCAATAAAATTACATAAATTATATTTTTCGACAGCTCAATTACAAAAAAAAATATAAAAGCATTGCCTTTTATTCTATAGATATTGCGTAATCCATTTTCTTATTTTCCATTGTCTTACCTTACAAATCAATCTAAATTAAACTAATTTGAATGAAGTGTAATTAGCGACCTACATTGTTCAAACAGACTGTTACAGTTAGCTTAAGGCATTTGGCTACGGCAAGCTTGCGAATAATTAATGTGGCGAGGAAATTCGTAGCCTCACAAAGGGAAATACTGCGTTGAAAGAAAAACAGATAGTCTTTGCATAGATACTCTTTTCAAAATAAAAAAAGAATTTTGAAAATCTATTAAAGTCAGCACGCGGGCAACTAGGAACCGTCTAATGATACCTCATTTGTCCAGTTACATTGAGTACTTTGGAAGTTATAAGGGAACAAATGAACATTCTTACATACATATGTACATACCGGCCAAAAACATAACCCTAATTTTCGCTTCGCCATAATCGGGTACTATATAACTAGACCTGCAACGAATAATCTGTTAGTATTCAGCCTATTCGGCTGCTTTTGTTATCATCGGCCGAATACCAAATACGACCATACTATTTGGCCTAATACCAAATACTTAACTAGGTACCTAATATATTTTGTTATAATGAGATATTTGGTAAAATAAAAGAAATTATTGATTTAATTTATAATAATATAATTGTCATATTTCTTATTTTTTAAGCATTTGAATTGTTGTTGTGATTGAACTTTAAAATCGGAAGGTTATGGTGTAGAAAGGTCAAGTTTTCTGCATTTTTAGGATGAAGTTTATTTCTTTTTTCTCGTAGACCAGCTTCAGAGAAAAGACGTTCTAAATAAACACTATTTACCGGTGCCGATATATATTTTGTTGCAATCTTGATCAAAAACGGAAAATTTTATTTTGTTGCTTGCCATCAAGTAAACAGATTGTCATGCCGTGATATTTTGTTAATACTTTAAAAAAGATCTATTTCTCTCGCAAATTCATTTTTTCTTTTGATACGAATTTTGGCACCACATACCGGGCGAATATAATATTCTTGTTAACTATTTTTAATTCACTCTTTAATTTCAAAGTTAAGCATAGGAGCAATGTTTACGTTGTAATTATGAATTCCGACTTACTTCAAACGTAATATCCTAACAGAGCTTAGGTATGTTCTGCAGAATACATTTGCGCCAACCGCCCGGACACATTTTCAAATATTAATAGGGTGTAGAAGTATCAAAACCACACAGGGTTTATAATACCCTTTATACGTTGTTATTGTTAGTGATATAATGCCAGTGGAAAATAATTCAGAAGTCAGAGAACAAACTGATTATACATATTTAAATCATACTTCCTAGGCTAATTATGAATTAAGTAAACCTTATTTTTATACCTAACTTTCACTATGAATGAAATCGAACACGGAGAAAGGGCCATGACCCACCAATGCGTATTAGTGGGTTTTAACAACTACAGATGCAGCCGGGAGCAAGGGCTTAACGTGCCTTCCGAAGCACGGAAGAGCTCGAGATAATGAATTTTTGGTCAAACACCGTAAGGCCTCTAAATCGCAGACAGAACGTACATACTACTGCGCAAGCATCAGCGCTTCTTCCTATTATAAGCGGTCGTTACACTAGTATTCATAAAGATGGTGGCAAATCATAGAGTATTAAAGACTTTTCTCTTCTTTTATTAGCAAATAAAACGCGAGGCCTACTCTGATATTCTGAAAATGCAATTTCGTACATTCTCAAAACGCTAATACGACTCCAAAGAAACTTTATGATTACATAATTATGAATCCAGATAAAATTTATTATGCAATAGAGGTAGGAAACAGACTCTCTGCCACTCTGACGTATTGCGTATTTAAAACTATAGCATTTAACAAATATTACATTTCTCTTACTAACAAAGATGTTCGTGCATGCAATAAATTCTATCCATTTCGTTTAATATGTAATGACGTTTCTGTTTCATCCTCTTAATCTAACTGCAGTTGTCGAAGTGAGATCATGCTACTATTCGCATATTACCTATAGCGGTGTTTAAGAGTGTCTTTATTGGTTCATGATCGATCGTATAAGCAAATCGTTATGTATAATGCGATAACATCGCACGATCGGGCTATGGTATAAGGGCACCACTTAGATTATCCCTCGCCTCTCGTTACTTCGATATTTATCTTCGTCAATGCACGATTATACGATATCCATCGCACAATTATTATTAAAATGGAGAGAATACCAAAAATCCCTCAACACTCAAGTTTTTTTTTATGACAAGGGCAAAAGTCCCACTACCGTTATGATTGAGCGCCATCTTGGTTCTGTGACGTAAGTTTCGCTTTAAACATTGTGTTGTGTAAACGTTCAAATTTTATTAAGGATAAATATAAGCCACAAAAACGAGCAGAGTAGCTCTTTCAACAATTGAGCAAAGTATAATTTTTCTCAAAGATTATTTTGCCAATCAAAATGATAGCGGCACTTTTGCTTCACCTTGTACAATGAAATAACGTCCAAATAAACTCGAACACACTCATTTCGTTTCGATTTATCTTTTGTATTAAATCACGCTTGAGCTATGGCTTATGAGCTTAAATTTGGATGCTTTAAACAGATTTGTATTTCTAATCGTATCGAACGTGGCTACGTTTCAGCGAGATCAACATTTGGTGAGCAATATTATGAGCATGCACCTAATTGGCAGCTCGTTAATAGGTAGACAGCAACTATATTGGTCCTTTCCAAATCAAATAAAAATGTTACTTGTCGTCAATTTACTTTTGCAAAGTAAAATTGTACTATTTGTCGTCATTCGCCAACGGACCAAGACAAATCACCAGCAATTTATCATACAACTCTAAGCTTAGAACGTTAGTAAGATCGTCTGAAATATTTATACCGGTTGGCAGACCATGAAATAGCTTGACCTTCCGTTGAAGAATGCGACCGCTATTTCATAATTCTAATAAATATAATACTTATAGGACGTTGAGTATATAAATGATTGAGATGCTACGAAATTTATTTCGAAATAAATATTTTTCATTTACATTGTCAACCTTCTTTAACTCTTGTATTGCAAAGGTAGGCAGAACTATGCACCCTGTCGTTAGCTGCGCCAATGTCATGAGCGTAACCTGATTGATACCTTTGCTGGGTTAGGTATATACCAAGATCATATCGTTCCTCCTGCACAAATTTGAGGATAATATTTAGATTATAATAGAAGATGAATAAAAATTCATACCAAACATATTTATTTAGACTTACATACTCAATAAAGATATTATAAATAATAATTACCTACTATGACTTTTAGTCCTGCCTGAGGGCCAACTCTGTTTGTCCACGAACGAAATTTAATTCTACCTCAAATTACGCAAAATATCCGTAGATCTGAAGCAGTTGCAGACCCTACCTAAAATAGTTAAAATGGTTCATATTTTCCAAACATATGACAGAAACCAGTATTTTCACTAGTAGGACACAACCTATTCGAAAATAGACAAAATTTCGTTTTCGAAGAAATAGAGTTGGACTTCTGTCTTCTTCTGATTGATTGAATTTAAAAAACATATATGCACTTCAGAAATCACCTATTATACACACATCAACATCGTCGTTTTAATTATTCTTAATTTTCTCAGTGTTTTTCTAAATAACATACATGTTTATATTTTTATAAAGCCCATTTATTAGCGTAGATTATAGAATAAAGCA